AAAAGTAAAGTCACAGGTTAACCCAGGGCTCACCATGACTCAGTCTCAGAGTGGAATTTGACTCAAAATAGACTCTGATCCTGACTGGTCACAGCCACAGATAGACAGGGTCCATTTATACACACCTCGCAGACATAGAGAGTCATATGCCCTGCGAGAGGTCATGGCTCCGTGGCAATGTTAAAGTCTCCAGATACAAGTTCAATGATCTTGCTACGAACCCAAAGACTGGTGAAGTAGATTCATTGTTTCTTCCTTCCAAGAGTTTGTTGAAGTCCAGGAAGCCCAGATGAGGGCTCTACCCCACAGATCTCAACTGAGACTCATCTATACACACAGTCTTCCCAGCACGATGTCTGCACAGAATCCCACACAACTATAAGCAGCTGTTCATCACAGCAAGGAAGAGCAGAGCATTGTAGGCATCAGTGAGATGGAAATCCACAGCTCAGTCATGGTTCTGTCCAACACCGGCTAACTGTCAAATCAGTGCAAGCCACCCATTGGCTTTGGGTACGCGGCTTTCTCATTTATAAGATGGAGGGAGGGAGGAAAAGAAAAGGAGCCAAACATTTGCCAGGGTCCCTTATAGCTAACACTTCTCACCCTTAGTGTAAAATGTAACAGGTCACATAGAACAAAGAATTGCCAGTGTAAGATGATTTGATGAAATAACACAGGGCAAATACTGTTAGTAACTAATAACAGTGAAACCATAATGCCAGTAGTACCACCTCCTTAAGGCTTCTGGGAGTCTTCACTTAGGCATAGGACATAGTCTCAGTGTAAACAGTCTGATAACCTGCTAAGGGTAAACTGAGCTAAATCTCACTTTTCCTGAAGACCGGCTGGCCACCGCACTCTCAGTCATTACCCAAACAGGGCCTATGTTCCCATGATAGAGACTCTGGGGCAGCTAAGAGCCCCTTCTGTTGAGGAGACGCGTGCCTAAGGACACACATGACATCTAAGTCCAGTTAGAGAAATGACAGCCGTTCTGGATTCCTACGCTCGCCCAGAAGCCTGGTTTCATCTAGAAGGGAATGCTTGCTCAACTATGGCACGGTTAAGAGAAGTCCAGGAAATGGTGTGGGTCATGAAAACATTCCAATTTCCCGTTCAAAAACCTTACACCCTTACAGAGGTTGGGAGAGCATATTTCTGCTGGTAGCTTTAAGCAGTTTAGGCATTTAGGAGTCCCTCTAAGGGGATGGAGAACCTCAGCCATTCTGTATCCGATTTAGTAGATGCCACTGACTTCCTGGATGCTAAGAATTCACCCTAGAGTTATTTGTACTTTTCAATAAAAGGAGAAGCTCCCCTCTGGAGACTTCCAGTTGCATATGACCTAAAGCAGTAGGCTGGAGAAACCTGGCCTCAGCAGCTTCTCCCCTCAACTGTATATCTTCTTGCTCAGTGTAACCCTGCACTAGCTTCTGGTACCCCCTATTTCAAACACAGCTCTAGGGGGGAACCCAGGCCTTACCTCTACAGCCACTTGGTAATATATCTGAACGTGATGATTTGCCACACAATTACAAGAACAGATATGGTTCTGTTGTGAATTAAGTGACGAGCACTGTGTGCAGCTGGATCCATTACCTGAGCAAATGGCTTATAAATTTCACCTTGCTCCTTCGGCTGGAAGGTTTCCCTGTTGGCTTTGCCATAACATGGGAAGCAGGGAATTTAACATAAGCTGCTGCTTCCCTGAGGGACAATAGGGATACTATTTGCTATGGAGACAAGGAGGCTGAATGAAATCACAGCAAACTTTCCCCTGGCCATCTGAGTGCTCCCATGGCAGTCCCCTGGCAGCATCTTCCGCCTCTTAGAGGCTTGAAGGAAAAGGGAGAAAAGGCTTCCTAGCTTTGCAGAGTGATACAGTCTCCCTGCATTCGCCAATCAAATCGAATACCCAAATCAGAAAAGGGGGAATGTTTATGTCATGAGCAAGAAGAGCCAACATACACCAGACGCTTTCCGTGTGAAAGAAGAAGCCAAAGGGAATCATCGGCACTGAGAAATCCGTTCTCTTGGAATAAATGTTGCTGCTTACTAGTCAAGAAATTTACCAAGAAAATGTCAAAAAAATGGAACTGGATCAGTGGAACCTTGTAAAATAAGAACTATCATCTTCCACTGTAGAAATATTCTAGAATGAAAGAGACTAGTCTAACACGAAATGGAAATTCCATGTGAAGCGTCTCCATTGGTGAGATGAAAGAATAACCCGCTCCTATTCAGAAAGACCAGCAATAGAGCTTGAGAGAACAGAAGGGGCAGGGGCAGACATCTTAATGATCAAAACAACCGAAAGTATTTATCTGATTTTATTGGCCACGATGAGCAGAAGTAAAATCCTCAATACTTGACTTTAATGACAGATTCTCTGAATTCCCACACAAGATGGCAGTCTAAGGTACTGCTTTCTAGTTCTAAGTGATCATAGACAGAGAGTGCTAAAATAGAAAGAAGACCAGCCCCATATTCTGTGGTGACTTCCCTCTATAGTCCTGAGCTGCATAATGACCTTTCACTCAAGGTCAGAGCACAGCTACAAAGGTGGGTCCAGGGGGCATAACGAAGGTGAAAGTTTCTACAGCTTAGTATTTTTCACGGTACCTTTCCTATGATATTTAGACATATTTAGATGCATATATATTTGCCACGGCATTACAATTGCCTGTGGTGCTCACAAGGGTAACTTACTGTCCAGGTGTGTTGTCTAGAAACAACAGCCCTACCATATATCCATATAGCTATACAATGTAGCCTGTAGCATACCCAGTAAGGTTATACCACCCAGTTCCTAACACTATATACTCTGATGATGGAACCATGCTTAAACCTCCCAGTAATACATTTCTCAGGGTGTTTCCTCATTGGCAAATGGCACGTGACTGATTAATTTCTGTCTTGGAACCAAAAACTTGATCTGTAGTTACAGTCTCCATTTGGGCTGACATCCCCCACCCTCACCCCCCAATACAGTAGAACTAGCCTTACATCTTTGGGTAGGAGAGGGTAAACCCACCACAGTTGTTCAGCTTGGACAAAGGGTATTGCACAGATGCATGACATTTCATGTGATAGGGAAAGACGGCATTTGATTATTCAAAAAAATTAAAATATAATTCCATTATTTTTCCCTGCTCCTCTCCTCCCTCCCACTTCTCCCATGGTCCCTTACGTAACTCTTCCTTCCAGTTTGAGTTTGCTGTTGACTTTGAAAGACAATAGCCAAGTGCAAAACGATGAACGGGGATCTGGAGAACGTGTGTACTTGTACAGGGATGACTGCTCAAAGCAGCAGGCGCTGGAAGAAGAACTGGGGTAGGAGGGAAAAGAGCTCAGAGGAGTCACGCGTCCTGCTCAGCACGGGAGTAAAGTTGAGAGATCGTCTTTCTAGGAAGTGAGTGACATGGACCTGCACAACAGGGCAGACAGCAAAGATTGGATAGCGCAGAATCATCAAGATACAAGACTAAGCGAAGCATAGCCCGAGGTGTCTGGCTGCTTACCACACACTGATATCTTTCCATAAAGCCAGCCTTTAATCATAGCAACACACAATCTGTAGCTTTGTTTAGTGGGGGAGAGCTGGTACGGAACAATGTCAGATGATGACGTTACAACCAGCATATGCTTGTTAACTTTTAGTGGAAAGTGTGTGATGCCGTAAAAGCAAACAAGCATGAAAGCAAAAGGCACCGTACATTAAGATTTCAAACACAAGGATCCGGCTTCCCTTTAATCCTTTTATGTGACCGCTTAGCATCGTTCATGTATATATGTGTGTGGCATCATCACTGACGGCAGACAGTCATGTGTAGTTATACACCCACACGTATGTATTTCTCTACCTTCTGTTCATTGATTCGAGTGTTTATTAAGCACCTTCCCTGTGTCAGGCTCTATTCTAGGATGGGGGATGGGGCAATAAATACAGACAAAACATCGGCCCTTATGAAGTCTCTACCAGCTGCAGAAAAATAGAAAATGGACAAATAAGTGGAGAAAATATAATGGCAAAAATAAAAGGGGGTATTGAGGAGGACCAGGCTGCCCAGCCAGGGGAGGAGCATATGAGATCCTAGTCCTGTAAGATGTCATCTGGTCAGAGGGTTTGAGGGATATAGGATGCAGAAGTCACTCACGTAGGGAGAGATAATATAAGTTCTTGGTGTATACCAACAGCCAGGAGGTCCAGTTGAAGACCCACAAGGCAATGGACAGGGGACAAAGTGAAGCCAGAGAGGCAGCAGACCAGAGAGGAGGCAGAGAGCATCCAGGAGACACCCTGGAAGCCAGTGGGCTCCAGGGCAGGTAACTACTTTATTTAACTGTGCACCCTTGACATTCAGGTGGTTTGAAAAGAAATTCACTACTTCAAAAGAATATTCTTCTGTTTTGAATAAATAAACACACAAATAAGACAAATATATCTTTCTGCATTGAGTATGGCTCAGTAATTTTTAATTGAATTTTTAGAAACTAATTTTTAACCCATACAACCAAAATTTCATTTGTGTGATAAGGGAGTGCAGATGGGCTCCTCAGGGATATGGAAATTGATCTCAGCACTGCTGAAGACCTTTAAGAACTCATATGTTCTTCCACCACAGGAGAATTTCTAGCAAGAGGGACTGTCTTCAAAAGTTTTTAGGGACTTGTCTGTAGGGTATCAAAGCACAAATTGCTGAAGTTGAAATGAAAGGTGGCTTGTTTTTTTTTCTCTAGTGAGTGTACAACTTTCATCTACCCGCTTCCGTTAATTGTAGACATCCTACGTGGCTAGATGGTCACACCAAGCTGCCCATTTTACTTGTCTTACAGTTCTCAGACATTAAGAAGCATGAAGCATTTGCTGCTATCAGTACTTGCTGGTTGGAGTTCATTCCAACCACTAGTGAGCAGTCTTCAAGTGTTCCACTCAGCTCAACAGCTAACTGGTGCCCTTGCCCAAGTTCCGACAATGTAATTGAAAACACTGAACTCCAATATTTTCCTAAAACATTCACTTCATTTAGTTGACAGACAGGAATCATTTCTTCTTCTGGTTTCAGCATGCATTCCCCTCTTCCCTTGGGTCACAGTCCCTCCCTAATTCCGATCCACCCCTGTGGTTTTCTGCTTTGTTCCATATCTGGGTCGCGGGGTGTCCCTCCCATGCACCCCTCAGCACTCTGCACATCTGAAGTGCTGTTGTCTGGTTTCTTGTTTATAACTCCCCAAAAGACAACGAGCGGGGCTGCTCATTCTGCACGCTGTACTTCTGATGAACACAACACCGGCTAGCACACGGTAAGTGTTGAATAGTACTTGTTTAACTTATCATCTAAAGAGGCAGCTCGGAATAGAGAACTGAGAACAAAACACACATTCAGAAAGGGAGCTCCTTAAGTATAACCATTTAATTCATTTGATTCCACTGCAGAAGGGCTGAAACCCTTTAAAATGGCCAAGCGGTTTAAAATGCTACACAGGGACTGGTGGGGACTTTCCATCCCATATGCCAAGGAAGCTAGGTAAAGCAGTTTGTCCTGCATATGATTAGAAATAGAAAAGTCTTGGGAATCACATTTCGTAAGGCTCGTGCCAGGTTTTATTGTTGGTAGTTTTGTAAATGCATTACATATTCTATGGTATTTGTGAAGTCTTTCAAAGTACATGCAATATAAAACCTTCTGCCAAGGAGAGTAACAGACAACACAAGGCGGGAAGGGGGTGGGTGGGAAAGGCCTGGGAATGTAAAGTCAGTTCACAGAAGAACTTGAGACGGTGCCTGTCCAGGCCTTTCATATACGTTCTCCTTTATGGTCAGCATGGAGCCCAGGATGCACTGGTAGCTGCCCCCTCCCCCTCTCACCCCGAAGATTAGGATCTTAGGGCTACCGACAGTTTCCATATTTTCTGAAATTTGGAAGCAATGGCTGTCATCCAAAGTAACACAGCTAGACTGACAAAACAAAGTAACACAGCTGGACTGGGTGTTTCTTTTTGTAGTAACACCCAGGTAATGGAATTCATGGATACGAACTTGTGTGTGGGACCATGTGTAAAAAGTGTGTAGTCATCCTTCCCATCATCCAGTTGTTAGCAGAGCAATTAACCTTTTACTCCTGAGTAATGGATGCTGCATTGTATGCTAGCTCAAATTCTCTTTCCAAAGGTAGAAAAGGGAAGGTAGGGGATAAGGACAAACAAGGCAGAATAAGAGTCATCTGGGAGTAATTTCTCTCTTTCAACTCTCCCTTCAATTCAAGATTTCTGGCAAGGGACACATTTCTCATGTGTCAAGTTGTTTTTCTCGTCTGGCTCTCTAGAACATATTTTTTAAGAGGCTTATTTTCAATGAGGCTCAATAATCGATATATGAGCTATAGGACTCTGTCCCCTTGCCATTTCTTTCTTACCCAGAAGTAGGAAATACCACAACATGGCTTGTAGCAGCTCTACACCAATGGGTTATAGTAAATAAGGCAGAGCCATTGACTCCAAAGGTGCCATTTATCTCACCAATTATGGCTTGCTACGTTCTTTACTGATAATTTACTAATCAACTACTACATGTGTAATCTCTTTTTCATATACTATCTCTAATCACTGAGACAGTTCTAAGGTCTGAACATTTTTATCACCATTAGTATAAATACTTTTGCCAGGTATGTTGGTACATACCTGTAGTTCTAGCATCCAAGAGGCTGGCACAGGAGAACCCTAAATTCTTGGCTATTCTAGGCTAATTTGTAAGACTTTGTCAAAAACAAACAAACAAACAAAATGCAACAACATCACCAGAACCAAAACAAAAGCAAGTAAAAAACCAAAATAACAACACCCCCCAAACAAACAAAAGACGAAACAAAACAACAACAGCAACAAAAACCACCAACTAAAAACAACAATTACCTTGTATCTCAGAGTCCTGAGTTAGTATGTCATCCACAGGCATGGAAATGCAGACCATTTAAATACATTGCTAACATTACTGCCGTGAGCCTGTATTCTAGCAGGGATGAAAGTAATTGTTACATTGTTGTAAGGCTGAGTCAATAACCTCTTTAGGAAGTTTTTTTTTTTTTTTAAAAAAATCAACTTTTTTCATTAACATTATTTCTGACACAGTTTTATGTATATTAATTGCTCGTTATTTTCTGATAACTGGAGAGGTTAAAGACAATAACTCATCTCAGAGCATTTACTGCAACAGTGGTTGTGTGGGTTGCAGCTTGGGAGGAAGACGGGATGATGGTGGTGGACATGGTGTAGCGGCTGTGTGTGGCCGAGTCTGGAGTGTGCTGGGCACTCTAAACCTCTGAAAATTTCCATAATGCCTGGATGAGGTTTTCTTTATTCAGTCAAGACCCCAACATGGTACTGCACCCTTAAGACTCATGAGAAGTAAAAGCTGTTTCTGTTGGGAGAGCTCCCATCACCAGGACAGGACTGAAAGACAAGAAGGAGCCAGGACAAAGGTTACAGTGCATGATGTCCTGCAGGTCTGAGGAAAGCAGCAGGAGACTAGGAGAGCCCATGTGAGCAGCTGAAGATGGCCACGTCCAGGAAGGGCAACAACTCTTGGGTAATTGGAGATGCACACAACAGCAAATTTGGGAGTGGTTCTTTGGAAAACAAGACAGCGTGCAGCTCTTCAACGATCTTATTTCAGTGATGGAGAGCACCATACAGTGTGGTCTCATCCCTGTGTGTAATAGAGGAGGTGGATCTCACAGACCCTCCATGCAGAATTCCCAGAGTCGTCTCGGGACAGAAGTGGGCAGGGACGGGAGGGGCAAGGCTAAGAAGTTCTAGCGCGGGACCGCAGAGCAGGGCGACTACAAATAAGTATAATCAACTGTGTATTTCAAAAGCCACGGGAAAGGATAATAAATGTTTCACCAAGAAAAACGGCAGATGACCGGGGAGGTAGACGTTCTACCTGATTTACGCAGAACACCATGTTAACATGTATGTAAACACTACATGATATCTAACCGACATGTATATTTGTATATGTATGTTCAAAAAAATAAAGCCAACTTTAAAAATCCGAAGCTGAAACTAAGACTTCTTTAAAAGTGAACAAAGTGCAGGCGTGAGATGAGAGCGGAAGTCTCCAATGTGGAGACTGGCACGGAAAGCCGGCTTCTGGTAGCAGCCGCGGAACTGAGGACCAAGAGGCTGGGGAAGGCAGCTCAGTGATGAGCAGTTTTCTGTTGTTCACAGGGATGTGAGGTCAAGCTGCGGACCTGCCCACACTGGACTGACTGACTGATTGATTCTTTTGAGAAAAGGAGGTCTTGCTATGTAATCCAGGTTGGCTTCAACCTTGTGATTCACCTGCCTCAGCCTGCTAAGTATTGGGATTCAAGTCTGCATCAACACGCCTTACACTTCACATTTAATGGCAGGCAGCGAGCGAGTAGGAAGTAAAGATCCTTTTACGCCGAGAGAAGATAAAGAAGACATGGGAAAAGAATGAAAACATACCAATAATATATGAAGGGAGATAGAAAGGACATTTATAGAAAAAGATACAAAGAAAAGAAACTCAGTCCAAAAATAAATGCTTTGGGGTGAGGCCCAACATTCCCTCTATCCCTAGACTCAGTTACTAAACAGTCTTTTAGTTAGTCTGTATGTGATGTCAGTTAGTGCAAAAATTGTTTCTAATGCTACTGTGGATTTGGGAACCTATAAATAATCTTTTATTTTCTCATATTACCCTTATGGTTTGAAATTAATGTTTGGATGGGGAGCAGTTGTGTGAATTAGATGAAATAATGATACATCAGCTCATTAGAGGATTTACTCACTCAGCCCTTTCCCGATAGTGACTTACTTCTTACTTAAACATGTAAATGTGCTCCACAGAAAGCCCTCCGCAGTTACCTCCATTCCCCGAGGAACGGGTCCCTGAGGCTGACTCCCAGTTCGGGAGAGCACAAAGCCAACTTAGAAATCAACATCTGGCCCTTGAAGGAGGCTCCCTGAGAGCACACTTCTCTAGGTAGAGCTGCAGCAGGCCCAACCTGAAGAGAAGTTCAGAAACTGCTGGGGACTTTTAACTCCCAATCCTGAACTTAAAATCACCACCAAATGGGGGCTGTTTTCCCAGGCCAAAGAAACGTGCGTACCAGAAGGGAGACCAAACCCAAAGCAGGAACAGAAATCCGAAGGATCCTGTGCCGCAGGCCTGGAGAGAGGGAGAAAGAGGCTTTAAGCAGAAAGATGCAACCTATTGTTTTATTGTTCTTGCTGTGAAGAAGAACGGTCAGTATCCAGTGGGATTTATTATTACAGGAAAAAAACTTTAAAGAAAACATTAAAAGTTAAGGAGATTAACATTTGAATTTCAAAAGCACCATCAAATACTATTGTTCCTGAGACATGAAAATCCAGCTATATGTACATTATGCAAAAAGGTACTACCACGCTGGCCGCCACTCGACAGAGGGGTGCCATTAGCTGTAGCCTTCAGACCCCCTCAGATTCACTTTTCACTTTGCTACTCATAGAGGATGGGTATGTGAGATTAGTGAGCAAACAACCTCTAGCTCATTTTATTTCTATAAGAATTTATTTTTAAGGATATATAAAAAACTGCATATTGATATATTTTTCAAGAGCTAAGAGTATCAGAATAACAAAATAATTTCTCTTGATGTAAACCAGAGTCTCAACATGCACTAAGTATTTCTAGTATTAGATCTGCATCTTAACATTCATATCTTTTGAAAACGTTTGTTTTAATCAACTAATTTTTAAAGACAGGGTCTCATAAAGTCCAGGCTGGCCTTGAAATTGCTATGTAGTTGAGGAACACCTTTTGCTTCTGCTCCTCCTGGCTCGACCTCCTGTTGCTGGGTTCACAGGCAATGTCACACCTAGTTCTAGGCAGTGCTGGGGATCGAACCCATGGCTTTGTTCGTGCATGCTACACAAGTGCTCTACCAATAGTGTTCCATTCCCAGCCCTGAAAAATGTTAGTTTTTTTTTTAACTGTCCCTAATTACCAAAGAAACCCTTGCTAGTCCTATTTTTAATTCAAATCATTCTCATTGACTTCTGTAGGCCAAGGGGCCTCACATGGCTGTTCAGTTCTTCCAGTGGTGGGCAGGCATCTCCTTCATGGTTTACACTGAAAGCCAGTTTAGATTATAACTGAGACATGGTCAGAGGCCACTTCTGCTTTAAACAGCACACTCTGCTTGTGGTTACTCTGCCTCCCACGGATTTGCCTCAGAAATTTCTAGCCGGTAACTACTGCTGAAACAAACACACAAGTATGTAGCCAGGCC